CGCTCCTTGCGATCCTTGCGCTCCTGCCGTTTCTTTCTTATCAAGTCACGCACACGTTCGATGCTGCGGGCCAGCTTAGACTCCTCGCCCACCTCCTATACGAAGCAAAAATAATTCATTAGATCGAACAGTCTCATAGAAAGTGTATACACAACTAAAGATTACACTACTAATAATAATTTTTATATATTTTTTAATTTTACACACATATATATATAGAATTAGTAGTCCAATGCAACAATATACAATCTAACAGCCAAAAAGCTAAACATTTAGGAACACAAAAATAATTAGTTGCAATTTTTTTACAAATACATTAACAATTGATTTTATATACAGGCGTTTTTTTTTAATTTTTTATTTTTTAGTTTCTTAAATAAAAATAAATGAAAACAGCAAACAATTTGTTTAAGTAGTTTTTTTTAAGTTTGAGTTTGAAAAAATTACCTTTTTCTTGAAAATCTGTTTAACGGTTTTTTGTGTGTGGTTTTTTTTAAATATTGGGTTATTATTTTGGTATTTTTTAGGTGTATTTTGTGTGTGTTGTGTTTTAGTATTAAAAAGTTTTAAACGCATTGTGCAAAAGTTGACGAACAGAGTTTAAGTTTTTTAGTTAATACAATTAGACTTTTAGTGCATATGAAAAGATTATTATATTGAGACTTAAGGCACTGAGACTTAGACAGGGTTTTTATCAAGGAAAATGCAATAGACATACGTTCCAATAAAACACCAACAACAGAAATACGAAATTTCGTACAAAGCCGAAATTGCATAAAACATTTTTGAAATATATAAAAATTAATTGATTAACAATTACAGCAATAGTTTAGGTGTTTGAGTGAATATGAGAATTTAAATAATTTTGTTTCAGTGTATGTTACACCTTTTTTTGTTTTAGTAAAAAGTGCTTTACTTTCATTTTTAGTGTATAATTCAATTGGGCATCAAATGTTTTCTTTTTAATGCATTTTGTGTAGAATGTGGTTTTAGATACTTAATCTAGTTAATCTAGATACACACGAATCACACTCAAACAACACGCATACAAAGTGCAAGGCAAACACCATATAGATGTAGATATACATTGAGACACATAAGTTTTATATAAATATTTGTTTTTAGCATTTGGATTTTAATGACAAGCTTTGCGCTTGTGCTCAAGACTTGGTTTGGATTTTAGTTTAAGGGTTTTCCCTTTTGTTTAAGTGGCACACACACATACATACACATTTAACGGATAGACATATAGACATTCCACATAACAATAGATACGAAAAGCATTTCTCTTTCGAAATGGAAAACGCATTGGACTTGCCTCTTTTTTAGATTTCAGCTCCTCGGAATTGAAGCTGTTGAGCAACAGAGCCAAGAACAAATTTAAAACCATAAAATTTCCCATCACCAACGTGGGCAAGAAGATGGCAAAGCATGTGGACGCGCCTTGCTGTAATGGTAAAAACATTATATATAATATATTTACAAATATATATTGACTAAAAGTTATGAATCCAACCTCTTCTTCGGCACGCATACAGTCCCATAGTGGTTCAATCCATTCGCCACACAAAATACGAAAGATCATCATGAAAGAGTGAAAGAAATCATTGAAATTCCATCTGTAAAAGAAAAACATCATTATACATATTTATATGTAGATTATATATAGGCACAAACTTGCCTGGGCACCGGATCAGGATCAAATTTTTCGGGCGTATAATCTTTGGAAAACAATTGCATGCCAATCACAGCGAATATATAGATGACTATAACAAGGATCAACGTGAGGTTGCCGAGCGCACCAATTGTCGAGATAATGATGCTCAACAGCACCTTCATCGTTGTCCAAGACTGCGCCAGTTTCAGTACACGCAACTGCAAGAAGAGTCGAAGTAGAAAAATCTGTTTATAGTGTTTGCCTAGAGTCTTCTTACCAAGCGCAGACCACGCAGCACGCTGAGCCCATCAACTAGCTCAAAAATGATATCAAGCAGGCTGGCAGTGACAATAATCAAATCAAAGATGTTCCAGCCACATAGAAAGAACTCTTTGGATAAAGCCATCAGCTTCACGATGCACTCGAAGGTGAAAATGGATGTGAACACCTAAAATTTAAATTTAAATTCTAATTAGATATTAGATCTTTTACGATGACTACATATAGCTGGCTTTGTAGCCATATCTATATTTATAAATATCCACCTTGTTGCCCACATCTAAGGCATTGCGAAAGCTTTCGCTCATGCCATGATGTTCCATGGCCAGAAATGCGGTGTTAAGCACAATGCACAGCGTAATAGCCAGCTCGAAGAGCGGATCACGCACGACCTTGTAAAGGCAATTCTGGAATTGTAACCAACTCTCGTAATCCGCACAGCAGTGCACGCAGCGATCACAGTTGCGATCAGGCAGATCATCTGACATATATAAGAAAAAAAACTATAATATATATAGCTTATATTATATCAATTGCTGACTAACCAATGACGACCACTTCGGAGGAGAATTCCTGATGCAGCGCATAGACATTGTGATTCTTAATTCGCGCTATATTTCCATTGCATTTGATTAGGCGCACCTCGCGTGGGGATAGAGCCAGCTCTACTGTAGAGACATGACCCATTTCGTTCACCGTTTCCTGCTCATCGTGATCATCTACCACGCCCGAATCATCTTGCGAGGATTCACGATTGACGCCTCCACTCGAATTAGAGCTCGTCTGGCGACTGCTTGTGATTAGCTGGCCCTTATAGTCCGAGGGATATAGCATATTTGGATTCTTAACACTGCCCTCTCTAAAGCTAATGCGTGTCCGCTGCTGTGATGTTGCAGCTGATTCGCTTTGAACAAGCTGTTGCTGTTGCTGCTGCTGCTGCTGTTGCTCCATTTGCTGGTATTGCTGCTGTGCCTGCAGCGCCAAAGCCGAAGGACGATCCGTGGTGCTATGCCGCGGACTTGGTCCTGGACTAGGCGTAGCCGAGTGCGTTTTGGATCGTTCATGATCATTGCCATTGCTGCCGTTGCCATTGCCATTGCCATTGCCATTGCCGTTGCCATTGCCATTGCCGTTGCCGTTGCCGTTGCCATTGCCAACGCTGATATTGTCTTTGCCTCCTTTTGTCTTTTTTCGACGCGTCTTCTTTTTGCTGTAGGAGGCGAGTAGCACGCCTTTGCGTGAATCTATCTTCTTTTTGTTGTTCTTATTGAGCTTTTTGACATTTAACACTGACGGATCAAAGCTAAATGTGGAATCATCACGATGATCCAGCAAATCCTTTTTGCGCTCCTAGAAAAACAAAAGAATGTTTAGCTAAATCTCTTTATTTTTGGCCTGTTTGAAAACTTACTTCATTTGTTATTTCCGCCTCCTCCTCGTAGCTCAAGGCCACAACAGCCAGCATCAAATTGATTAAGTAGAAAGAGCCAAAAAACACAACCACTGTAAAAAATGTAACGCTCATTGGACCACACGTAGCTAAAACCTGTGTTAGAAATAAATAGTAGACGTAAGATTATAAGAATAGCTGTGTAGCTGGAGTTGCTTTACCATATTGTATACATTCTCCCAATAGTCCAACGTAATCAATTGAAACGTTGTCAGCATGGACCACATAAAGTTGTCGAAATTCGTATATCCATGATTGGGATTATCACCGACACAGATGCACATATAGCCCAGCGGGCAATGACGAGCGCCTGTCAGATTGCCACACAGCGTGGGCATCTCTTCCTCATCATACAACCAATTATCAGTGTCATTGACCCAGCTGAAAAGTTGGATCAACATATAGTAAGTGCATGAATACATACTATGTAAGCAGAAATAAATATATACCATAGTCTTTACTATCAGCTAAAACTGCTAAAATAAACCCTGTATTCTTAAACTTGTATTGCTTTCACATTCTCAACTGAGTATAACAGTTTAACATGTATAACAATTTTTGGATTATACCAAAACATCTGTAATTTTGTGCTTTGCTTTGATCTGCTGATTCGTATAACGGTTTTTATCTTTGACTCATAAATGTTATATGGGCGTATAACAGAATTTGATAGTTCATAAAATTGCCAAAATGGCGTCTCCTTTTGCTTCTCACATACAAATTTCTTCTGTCTCTATTCAATCGTAGGCTATTTATCCACTTACATTTTCCAATCCAGATGCGATATATTCGTCCAATCTGTGGGCACATTTCGAACGCACTTGTTGCGCAATTCACCCATGTAAACCTGTAAGGCGAACAGCGCAAAGACCATCAGGCAGAAGATGGTTAAGGTCATGACCTCTGCCAATTGGCGAAACGAATGCAACAGTGCATTGATAATCGTTTTCAAGCCCGGCATAATGGATACCGTTTTTAGTGCGCGCAACACACGGAATGTGCGCAGCCCGGCCAGATTTCCCACCTCCATACCAATGGTCGCATAGCCACTGGTGATGACTACAAAGTCCAGCCAATTCCATGGATTACGCAAATAGGTGTATTTGTTGAGCAAAAAGCCTTTGGCAATGATTTTGATAACCATTTCAATTGAGTAAATGGCCAGGAAGATATATCTGTAAATTAAAAAGTAGTAATCGATTAATTGAAGATCCATCATCAAAGTAAACTGACTACTTACTCCGCTTCCTCCACAGTCTCTGTCATGGCTAGGAATATGCAGTTGAACAGTATAGTTGCCATTACACAGTAGTCGAAGAATTGATTTGTTGCTATGTAGACACAGACACGGCGCCATGGACTCCATGGATGGAAGAGGAATAGGCTTTTGGTGCCCGTAAAACGATGTATATAATTTTTGCGGAAACGCTTCGACACCACACAAAATGTCTGCAAAAAAGTTAATATTGGCGCCCAATTAGGGTTGAATTTTACATTTTATCGTTGGCAGTACCACTTAACAGTGCTACTGCCCACTTAACAGAATTGCTGACTACATAACAGAAATGTTCATTTAAACAGATGTCATGCGACCTATCGATAACATGTGAACTGTCAAACTCAAGCCACGCGAAGCTGCCAGCTAGATTTCCGTTCGACCATCGTTCTTTCGTTCTCAGGCCGTCTTCGTAAGCAGAAGGAAAATGAGAGCTAAGGTAAAAATTCAATTTTCTTTTCCAAATCAATAAGTGCTCAAGTGAAAAAAAAAACTAGTGTATTAAATATTTAAAAAGCAGTTGCTACATTGATTGTGTACCCTTGTGTATTTGCAGTGGCGTAAGAAGCGTATGCGTAGGTTGAAGCGTAAGCGCAGGAAGATGCGTGCAAGGTCTAAGTAAACGCGCCATTCCGCTGTCGACCATTTTCGTGGTGAGTACCGTTTATAGACAGTCGACGGAGCGCTAGCGCTCCATTTGTTGCTTAACTTGGTCAATTCTCATGCGGTACTTATATTGTGTTTTTTCCTTTGTTTTCAGGAACTTCTGACGTACAAAAATGAAAAATACCGACTGGGCAAATTGAAGCCCGAAGTAATTTGCAACTTTAGTTTTCGACAACCAGAAAAATAAATGTGCTTTACAAAAATTCACTTTGAAATTTCCATTTGAGAAAACTTAATAAATTGCTGGTTTAAAAACGTTCCACAAAAAAGTAATAAATTTGTGTTAATGTTAGTCGAAAACTCGAGGAATTTTTGGAATTATTTCGAGCGTGCTTTTTCAACATAACCAAATTTCTATGTATACACAAGTGTGGGCCAACCATCGCCTGCGTGTTTGTAGCTGAATAGTAAGAACGTCATTTAAGGAATCTTTTGCGGCTGGCCCACAATGCGTGTTTTTTGTAACTAGATTGTATACAAAAATTGCCATACGTTCCGTTTTTTAGCTGGATTTTACGAGAAGCTGATTCTGGTCTTTTATTTTTAAGTTGCGAATAAGACAACGGCGTTAAACAGAATCGGATAATGGAGAATAAGGTGAGTACTAGACAAATGGCAAGCATCCAACCGGTGATCAGTCTTGCAAAGTCCACCAAGGTGCGCCATCTAATTAGACCAGAAAGTATGGTCAGACATAGCGGCGGCACCGGTGGCAGCTGCAGCGACAATCGATTTCCTAGCCGAATATTCTGATTGGCATTGACTGAGAGCTTGCCTCGTGCTTTGGGTAGGAATTGTAGGTTCATTAGCGTTAATTTCTTCAATTAAGTGTGCCGAGGATAATCAAATGCTATCCCCTGCCCCAAGGTCGTTTGTCGTTTAGTCGTGTAAGCAGAAATTTTAATGTAACAAGCAGAAATTTTAATGTAACAAGCAGAAATTACGATTGGGCGGCAGCTTGCTCGTGCCCTGGCCCCCAACTAGTTGTGTGTATGTGTGTCTGCTCTGTAAATTTACATGTTCTCTTTGGGCAGCTGTATGCATGTCTGTGAGCTTAAGAAAAAGCGTATGTGCAAAATGGAAAGTTGTGTTAGCACTTGTAACCAAATGAAGTGAAAGGGATGGGGCAAATTCTGTTCTTAGATTGTGTACATTTTGGCAAACATGCTGCTGGTCTCTTATCACATGCCACCGCAGATGTTTGCTTTTGCTTTTGGCCGGCTTAAAGTGTGCCATTAAATGCCATTAAGCACTTTGATTTTCCGTTCCCCGTTTTAATGTACACCAACGCACACGCATACACCTAAATGCCTTGGCGTTGCCATGCGTGCTTGTGCTCAAATGTCTGGCAACATTACGTTACACTTGCGCCAGCCCTGATGGCCATTTGAATGCATGTTTACGTTACGGCCCAACTCAGACCAGTGATATTATTTGGTCAGAACACGTTTACGTGTGTGTTTTTTATGGAATGCCGCCAAGTCTTGAGTAAACTTGCATGTTCGTCTATAATTTGTCCGGCTCGTTGGCTTGCTTGCTTAGTGCCTGCTTGCCTGCCTACCTGCCTGGCTGGGCTGCTGCATAGCTGCTGGCTCCACCTGTCGGTAGTTGGCAGTTTATTTAAGTTAGCAGTCACGTAAAAAAAAAACTGTTGTCACATTGCTGCTCGGCCATTTTTAAGGCAAACTCTCCGCCTGACCCATTTCCTGTTTGTATATATGTACGTGTGTGCACGTGTGTGTACTTGTATTTGTATTTCTTTACTTTAGCTGTTGCTAAATTTACTCTCACTTTATTTGCCTTTTTTGTGGCACATTATGCTGATATCCGTGGCGCTTATTCAAGTGGTGGCCCCACGAGGGCTGTTCTAGCCGTTTGCATTTGCATTAACCTCAGTGTTTATTTATTTTTTTCTATTTTGGCATCAAAAAGTACATTCATTTTCATTAAGTCGTTGCATTTTGCACTTTTGCACAACAACAATGGCGACGACAGCGCGTTCCATTTCCGCTTGTGCCACTTTCCGAACACTGTGAATAGGGGCATTGAAACGGTTTGGGTTTGGCCTGTGTACGTGTGTGTATATGTATGTGTGTGATTGTGTTTGTTCGTTTGTTTGTGAGTTATTAATTAAAGGCTATGGAAATGGCAATGGGCCAAATGCAGCGTTTTAATAAATTTTGTTGCTGTTGTTGTTTCGTTTTCGCTTTGTTTCGTTTGCCACGCTAATATGCATATGAATGTTGCGCGAGTGCGCTGGGGCGTTCGCTTACCTCCTCGTATATAAAGGTGTCAATCTCCTCGAGCGGCTTGCCGTACATATCCTCCGGAAAAGGCTCAAACTTTCGTGGCAATACATCGCCATCCTCCACGGAGGCCTTCGTCCGCGGATGGAAGCCATATTCGCGCACCAGCTGAATGTGCCGATTCTCGTGCTTGACCTGCGACTTTTGCGTGTAGGCAACGACTTGCTGTTTGGCAACTGCAACCAATGGGAGAGAAAGAGAGAGAGAGAGTTAGTAAATGATTAAGCACATCACACAGGGTGTCACATAAATCTTGGCTGAAATAAAGTGCTTTTGTTTTTGGGAGCTTAAATGTCACATACATCTTAGAAGTCGACTGGAAAAGTAGTTGCTCGTTCAAAGTGGTGCCATACAGGGTGTCAAATAAGTCTTTAAAGGTAGTAAAAATGTTCGTTTTTGTTTCATATATCCAACAGGGTGTTATGTACTAGGTAATTATAATAAGGGTATTCCTTCCGGAAAACCTAATGGGCTAAAATTCATTACAGGGCGACACATGAAACTGAGCTTGCAATTTGAAAGTGGTTTTACTATTCAAATGGCAAACAGGGTGCTATGCACTACTAAGTCGGTAATTTTGGTAATAAATTGTATACACGTTGTCCTAGAAGACAACTTAACACAACGAGCACAGTGCGCCACAGTCAGTAAATGTTTTCCTAAACACAGGGCGTTTCAGATAAGGCGGACACATTCCTATTTCACTGCAGATGAACTAAATAGATTTATATGTTATAACTTTTGCAGAAATCCAGTGCCAACTCTGCACAGGTACAAATGCTGCAGGCCATTGGAGGTGGTGTGTCAGGTGCATTAACCCGATTCGTTGCGCACCCGTTCGACGTGCTGAAGATTCGCTTCCAATTACAGGTGGAGCCTTTAAAGAAGCGTTCGGACAAATCCAAATATGCGGGCATGTACCAAGCCTTTTCAACCATATTTCGGGAGGAGGGCGTCCGTGGCATTTGGAAGGGTCATTTGCCAGCACAAGTGATGAGTGTCACCTATGCTCTGGTTCAGTTTTGGTCATACGAACAGCTCCATACGGCTGCGTCGCAGTATAAATTTGGTCGCGATCATGTCCATTTATCATATTTTATGTGTGGCGGTTTGGCCGGTTGTCTGGGCACAGTGGTTGCGCAGCCTTTCGATGTGGTACGGACCCGTGTGGTTGCGGCCGATCCTGGCACGACTGCCGGCACCTTAAAGCCACTTTCTGGCGTACATAAGGTGTTTAAGCGTGAAGGTCTTCGAGGTGTTTCCAGTGGAATGCTGATGACTTTAGTGCAAATTTATCCGCTAGTCGGTGCCAATTTTGTCATTTATAAATTCTTAAATCATTTAACATTCACGATACTCCACTTTCTATTTGAAGAAAAGCTGCACAGAAAAATTTCCCGTGAAATACCTGGAGGAATGCTATTTGTAAATGGCGCCGTCTCCGGCGTTCTAGCAAAAGTACTTGTCTATCCAGCTGATCTAATCAAGAAACGCACCATGCTCAGCCACTTTCAGGAAGACCGCAAAAGCTTCGGCCTGAACCCCATTTGTAATACGATAATGCTATGCATACGTACCACCTTCGCCAATGAGGGCTTACTTGGCTTCTACAAGGGAATGTGGCCCACACTCTTCAAGTCCGGTGTTATGTCCGCCTGCTATTTCACCATATACGATTACTTCAACAACCATTTTACCGTTCCCTACAAGAAACTCGAGCGGGATCAGAAGAACGACAAAAATAAAAAAAATTGAATGGATACCGAGAGCCCAAGTGCATAAGTAGAACGACAATTTCAAATCAAACACATCAAAACAATGGAACATGGGAGAAGCTGACTAAATTTCGATTGCAAAGAGACAAATATGCCAGAATTCACAATTTTCCCGTCCAGCAATATTTTCTTGACGCTTTCGTTTTTTTAACATGTTCTACTGCATCCTTCTTTATTTAGTCCAAAATTTTTTTTAAATTTTAAATGTGAAAAAAATATGTATGCATTAAAACAAGTAAATTAGAAATAAAAAACAATTCGAAAAATAATATATGAACTTTAACTTTTTTAAAATTTTAGATAACGTTTGTTAGACTTTATATCCTCAAGTTACGCGCGCACAAAATGTATATTCGGGATTCTAAAGATGTTCCAAATATACATTTAAAATACATTTTCTACCAACTTTTAAATTTATGAACGATTTATTGAACTCTTCATAAGGCAAAGCACAGGGTAAATATGAATGCAATTGTCTAACTGATGCATGGATAGGTAGATAACTGATATATAGCTAGCTCTCAGGTTAATAGTTAACATATGTGAGATATATATATATATATGTGTGAATTTGAGCGACTGTCTAATACCCGTTTGCATGGCACAAAAGCCATTGCTTTTGTTAAATTGTTTATATTTTAGAATATAACATAATTATAGATATATATATATATATATGAATCTAAGTACAGAGCTAAGCATGGAGTCTGTCAGGTCAACAGTCCTCCAACTGTCAAACTGTGCATTTTAGCTCAAAAATTGATAGAATGTTTAGACTTTCTCAAATTTGCCATGCCTTCAACAGACGGATATCAGCATATGAGTCAGTCTTTAGAGCAGGCTACAGACTTTAGATATATTACTAAGATAGATATATAAATTAGGTATTAGACTGTGGGTTGGCTATAGCTGAGTCTATCATATTTCTCTCTTTCTACATAAACAATATTACTATAAGAATCATAAGCATCACAGAATCTGCCGCTCAGCTCATAGTAGAGACTATAATAGAGCAAAGGTGCAATAAATAAGGATGTTTGGAAGAGACGCGGAAAGAGGATGCAACTGGACGCAGTTGTACTGAGGACAAGCTGCAGTTAGTGCATATTAAAGGGCTCCAAGTATGACTAACAAAGATAAATTCGGTCAGTAGCAAATGTAGTTCGAGTCGCCTTGCTGACGTACGACCGAGCGTTTTCTACTAGATCAGCCACAAAAACATATCATCAAAAGTAGTTAAGCCCGATTTGGTTGTCCGATTTTACCTGTCGGATATCAATTGTTAATTGTATAATAAATATTATAAAGACAATGAAAATTGAAAAAGAAAAATTCTCCAAGCTTAGTTGTTCAAAAAAATAGTATTGTCTACTAAAATTTGTTAGATAATCAGTTATATATATATACATATATCATATATATCATATATATCATATATATCATATATATCATATATATCATATTTATTTATATATATATACCAATCATATACCACATGTATCTAATACCATTCACATTTCATCAACTAGCTATTTTCCTATGAATATTGCATAAAGAAACTTCATCATTATCTTGTTAATTAACATAATTATCATTGCCACGAACGTTAATAATTTTGATTGCTCTTGAATTTTCATTGCATCATCGCGCCTTACGTCTTCAGCTTCACTTGATCTTCGGCTCGTCTCCCATCTCCCAGCTTCCATCTTCTTCTACACTTTCACCTCGTCTGACATAATCTCTTGTGGCTTTGACTTTTAGATAGACTCGAGTTTTGGTTGGTTTTTGCTCTTAAATTATTACACTACATACTTTATTTTGTACATGGACATAACATTTGGGTTAATCCGCCTTTTATGGGGGAGTGAAAGGGGTCGGTTACATAAATACGAAGATTGTATGTTGCGAAGATGCTTAAATGGATGCTGCGTATGGGTTGCTGATCGGTGAATCATAACTTATTATCTCCAATGGGGCGTGGGGGCCATGAACATGAACATAGACTAGACGACCAGAGTTGGTCAGAGTTGGCTGTTGGCTTAGGCCCAGCCGGAGCTACCGCCGGACCAACCACCTGTGGGCGCGGCGTAGTTGTAGCCACTGCCACCGGCACCGCCGCCACCACCACCGCCGCCGCCACCAGCTGCTAGTGCTACAATTTGGCTATCATCATGGCCGCCACTGTAGCTGCTGCCACCACTGTAGCTGCTGCCAGTGCTATAGCTGCCGCCGGTACTGTAGCTGCTGCCACCACTGTAGCCACCACTGTAGCCACCACTGTAGCTGGAGCCGGCGCCTGTCCAGCCGCTAGCTGGCGCTGCATAGCTGCTGTAGGCTGCATCACCAGATCCATGTGAGGAACCAGACGAGGACGCAGTCGCCGCAGCTATAGCAGCCAAATGGGCATCGTCATGGCCACCACCTCCATGGCCGCCACCACCACTGTAACCACTATAGCCGCCATGTGACGAGGCGTCGGAGCTGGCAGCAATGGCTGCAATTTGAGCAACACCATGTCCGCCACCACCGCCGCCGCCGCTGTAGCCACCGCCATGTCCACCGCTGTAGCCACCATAGCCGCTGCCGCCATGTGACGAGGCGTCGGAGCTGGCAGCTATGGCAGCAATTTGAGCAACACCATGTCCACCACCGCCGCCGTGTCCACCACTGTAGCCGCCATAGCCGCTGCCGCCATGTGAAGAGGAGTCCGAGCTGGCAGCAATGGCCGCAATATGTGCAACGCCGCTGTCATGTGAACCGCCGCCGCCGCTGCTGTAACCATGGCCTCCATCACCACCACCATGTGCACCACCAGCGCCTGCAGCAGCTGCAATCACAGCCAGCTTGCCATCATCGTGTCCATGTCCGTGTCCACCGGCGCTGTAACCGCCGGAACCACCATAATGGCCACCGCCTGAGGAGCCGCCATGATGATTCTCAGTAATGACAGCGAAGGTGCTCACATGGCCACCGCCGCCATAGCCGCCACCACCGCCATATCCGCCACCACCGCCGCCATAGCCACCACCACCGCCGCCATGACCCTGATCGTGTATTTCATAAGCGGAAAAGTCGCCGCCACCGCCGCTGCCGCCACCATGGCCATGGTCATGACCACCACCACCATGATCGCCACCACTCTCCGGCAGGTGGATGCGTATATGCACGTGTTCACGTCCAAAAGTCGGCTTGCTCCATGCAGCGGGACTGGCGAGCAGCAGAACGCTCAGCTGCAGATACGAGAGAGAGGGAGACAACACTAGTTAGCAACCATTGCAATTAGCAGCAACAACAACAAGAACACTCACTATGAAATACGCCGCCATAACGTTTCGATTTACTGGTACAGGATATGGGCTTTGTTTTTGTTTCTTTTGCTTTGTGTCGTCTGCTGGAACAACGACAAACTGTAAATGATTCGGCTAACGATGCAGCGGCGCGTTTTATACACGAAACCAACTAACGTAGCTGCCGAATTGAGCAGCGCTCGGGTTATGTAAGCTGGCCACTAGCAAGTGCAAGAGCTTATCTACAGAGAGAGAAAGAGAGAGAGGAAGCGAAAGGGAGAGCGGCAGAGGGTAAGCAGCAGAGAGTGCGTCTGCAGGCAGGCAGTCTGCAGACGAAGTCGGCCCATTGAAGGCCGTCGCGTTTTGCTCGGCACTTTCGTTACATTTCGTTATTTTTCCCTTTTCGTTTTCGTTTTCGTTTTCATTTCGTTTCGTTTCGTTTTTTTTTTCGAGAGTGTTGTTGACCTTTTACACGAGACGAGGCGCCCTTTGCAAAACTTGTAGCGAGATCAAGATCGAAAATAGCTCTTCCGCTCTTTGCTGCACGCAGAGGGACCGGCGCGGGGCCCATTGCTCCACTTTCATTGACTAACAGTGAAAATCTGGTTTGGTTTTAAAATTTGAAATTTTTTAAATCGCTTATCGAACACAGCAACAACAACAATAACAAATTAATATGCAAGTTGGACAGAAGCCCTCGCCACTCTGAACCCCTCCTGTCGTCTTTTTCATTATTTATTGTTGTTGCTTTTGCTGCTGTTGCTGCTGGCGCCCAATACTGGTTAGATATTAACTGTTATTTTGATTGTGTTTACGTTTATGCTTATGGTAATGCTGCTTGCTGATATGAACTTCCTATTGGCAATTCCTTTTGTCACATTGTTGTTGTTGCTGTTGTTGGCGCTGCCCGTGAGCCTTAGCCTTATACAATAAACAGAGATAGCAACAACAACAGCAACGACAGTTACTTGCATAACGGCCCCGTTGGCTGGCACTGGGAATTGCTTTTGCTTTGATTGGCCAAACCCTTTTTGCTTACGGTCTTTTTCGGCACTTTTGTATTTTTTTTTAATTCGAGTTTTTTCATCTCGTTCAAACTCGTTGTTAACCCATTAACATTAGTGTATGAACTGTCTCTCTTCAAGAAATGATTAAGCTGTCATCAGCTTGGCAACATTTCAAAATTATATCATTTTAATTGCCGCCAATTACAATTGTTTTTAAGCGTTTCAAATATATGCTACTATGTCAATAGATTCATTTAAATGTGTTTGGAATTGTTTAACAAATTATATTAAATTGATTTTTTATTGTTTATTTGAAGATTTAACGTTAATTTTATATTTATATTTAAAATATAAACTTATAATTTACAACAATAAACAAATCGTTTATGATATACATGAGAATTAAGAACAAGTTTCATTTGAAATTATACTAAGCCCAAGTGTTAGAGACAAGACATAATAATGGGAAAAGATTTAAAAAGGAAAATCAATCCCAAGAGTTCTGATTGGATTTGAATACTTGGATATACTGAACCAATTGGAAAAGAGAATTCAGTGTATAAAGGTTTTGAAAGCTGTGTTTTATATAAATTTTTTACTAAAATAAATAAAATAAAATAATAAATTAAATTATATATGATAAATTATTTCATTTTTAAATACTCTTTTTGCGCATTGTACTGAAATTATGGATTTTTCTACATATTTTTATATACAAAACTCTGCGATAAATTTGAACTGTAGCTTAAATCTGGAAGCTCTCAAGTATAGTTAGATAATGTGTATAGGGTAGGTCAAAGCTATTTAATATTTGTAGTTTGATGCTGCTCAAATTGTGGTTAATTTTAAGCAAAATAATTATTATTTTTAAATATTTAAATTATTCCAAAATCAGATCAAAACATAAATAAAATTCAAAGATTTTTTCCAGCTTTTGTTTGACATTGCGACGCGATTTGAGCAGCATTATCAAAGCATTTTTATATATAAGTCTTCTTCTTCTCTTACTTTGGTTTATATAGAATTTGTACACATATATACAAACATATATATACACATGTATATCGATGTAAATAGAGATACGTAAGCGGATTATTTTGTGCATGACAACAAATTCGCATTTTCATTTTTTCTTAAGTAATTTCTCTTGTCTGATTCCGTAATTGGGTTGCCATTGGGTTAAGACTTGCCACTGGCTGGTTGCAGCTGCCACAGCCACTGCCACTGCCATCTCTCTTGTTGCCACCAGCAAAACCGAAAACATCATCAACAACAGCAACAACAACAACCATCATAACACGCTCTGCTGCAGCGTTGGCGAAATTGTAACGCAAATTGTCTCGATTCGCCGTTCATTTCTACGCGTTCTTACATCAGAGACGAGGTCATGGTCACCGAGCCCGCATCCCATCTTTGGTCAGCGTCTATATGTAGCTGTTACTGTAACTGTATCTGTAACTCGCTGAATGTATCTGTAATTGCATCAGACTAAATGTCTCTGCATCTGCATTTGTAACTGGAACTTTTCTTAATGTCTCTGTATCTGTGTGCTGCAATAAATGTATCTTTGACTGACTCAATGTATCTGTATCTCAGTTGAATTGCATTTTAAGTAAATTATTTGCAACTGTATCTTATAATTAATATCTATGTATTCGTATCTGTATCTGTGCAATGTATCTCAATCTTGAAATAACTATCTGTAAAATCTCTTTCTAACCAAATGTATCTGTATCTGACTGTAACTGTATCTAAGGCTAATTTTGATGTTGCTGTGATTAATAAGTATTTATCTGAATGTATCTGTAGCTGTATCTGCTTTTCGTATCTCTATTCATATATCTGTCTCTTTCTAACCATATTTGCATTTGCTTCTTACTTAATGTATCTTTATTAGGCTATGACTCACAGTATCTGTATCTTTAGGCCATCAAATGTAGCTGCATCTGACGCTAGGCAACTGCAATCAAATGTATCTTTGGTCCCATCAAATGCGTGCGTATTCTGTTTTTTTTATAAGTATCTGTATGTATCTTAGTATCTGCATGTTCTCTTCTTGTATCTTCACTCGAACACATGTATCTGTATCTGTACATTTGTATCTTTATGTTTTCCCTTAACGCCAGCATGTGCTCTCTGTATCTCACATTGCGTATTCTGCATCTGTATCTACTCGTCCAAGTGTCCTATGTACTTGTCTAAGATATATATTTATATGTATATCATGCTCAGCATATGCTAAGTATCTACATGTGTTTCCATGTATCTTTATTTAACAATTTGTATCGGTAAGTATCTTGCCAAGTATCTGCACGTTTTCTCTATGTGTCTGCATCTGACATTTTGCATGTGTATCTTTTATTTTGTATCTGTATCTGTATCTGTATCTTTCTGCTCTCCGTGTATCTGTCATGTATTTGCATATTCTCTCTATGTTTCAGTTCATGGTCCTGGCCATTGTTTGGCTTTCGCTGCTGATTAGTAAGCCAGCTGCTGTTGGCCAAGTGGGCGGCAATATTCATTAACCGTTATTTCTTTTTTAGATCGAGAGAAATGTGGGGATGGGCGAGGTGGAAATGACATACATACGTATATGTAACAATGCAAATCAGCTGATTAACATTTCTCATACGGTATTTCGTTTCGTTTAGCTTAGTGTGTTGTGTGTTGTGTGTTGTGCAAGTCCAGCCGATCAGATTCCATCTATTGCCAAATTAATTAATATACAATTTGATTCACTCGAGAGGCAACATAAATGTGTTAACAAAAGACCTATCAAAAGCCATCATAAGCAGCCGAATCATAATATATATATATATATATAAGCATCAAACCAGGTGCTTACATAAACACTACTTCACCAGCAGCCAACAACAATGGCAAGAGCCAGAGCAAGAGCAAGAGCAAGAGCAAACAGCAATGAGGGCAGCTGTTACAAATATAATAAGAGGCGGAAAAAGTTTTCAATGTCGCACCGTTGGCTCAGATGCCCTTAATTCAATTAGATCTTCGATAAAAAGTGAGAGTTGTTAATTAGGAATTTATGCAAACTATGTAACAGCTACAACTGACTAAGATTAATGTGATTAATGTGTTAAAAATGAGTTTAAGATTGAAGATCTTTTGTAATAGCAGTAGTAATAGATGAACAGAGAGATATGTGCTTGATGTAGATAAAATTCATTCAATTTCAATGGGTAGATAGATGCGTAGATTGTTAGATGAGTAGATACCTAGATGTACAGCTAGATACATAGAGTAAACGTTGCTCAGATACAGATACTCGTATACATGGATAGATATGTAAGCTTATAAAAAAATAGTTAAGTGGATGCATAGAGATAGATAGGTAGATGAATGGATAGATTGATAGATAACGGAGAAGTGATAGATGGGTGCATATAAAGATATAGAGAAAGACTAATAGAGAGAGAAGTATATATTAGTAAAATACAAATGTAGATAGAGAGATAGAAATAATAGAAAAATTAGAGAAGCATTGAGACAGATATATGCGAGAAGAGTTGAGATAGATAGCTACATATGTAGATATATATACATATATATATAAATATATATATGTATTGTTAAAGAATTATATAGATATAGATACATATGTAAATACAGAGATATTGATAGAAAAAAAGAGATAACTACTCAGCTCAACAGATAGATAGATACATAAGTAAATAAAGAGATAGAACGTAGATCAAAAGATAGATACTTCAAGATGCATAGACTATAGATACCTAAGTAAATAAAGAGATAGAACGTAGATAGAGAGATAGATACTTCAAGATGCATCGACTATTGGATTGTTAGAGTAGTATCCATGAAAGAAGTAGTATCGAAATATCAAAATGTATTCATTGAGATATTCTGAGATTAATAGATAGATAAATAAAGAGATAGATAGACACATAGATACAGAAGCAAAACAACAAATCGAAATATGTATATAGATGTAGATTTGCATACATAGTTACATATACATAAATATATAGACAATTAGATACATAGCATATCATACAGATACATACAGATAGTAGACAGACAGTAGAGTTCAGC